CGTCCGAGAGAGGTCTCCGTGGATTCCAGCAATTCAGAATCCTGGGACGATGTTCAATTCTGTACGGATGGCGGCCGGTTTCTTGCGGGCCAATTTCACCGGTAGGTCAACTTGGTTCTGGCGTTACTTCACCAGCGTGGAGTCGAGTGAAGAAGTCAACCAGAATCTCAGGATGCACGCCGCTCGAGCGACGCGACGTATGAGGCAAAGCATCTACACCGCACCCCAGGTGTCTCCACAAGCAAGCTCCTGCCAGGCCATGAGCGATACGCTCGGGCAAGCGTAAAGCCTGACGCCTCTTCGCGTGGCCGCGGTGATTCTGACAATGTAGATCGTCTGCGACAATCACAGAGGCGAATCGCGGAAGATGTGAACCTATTCTCGAGAAATTTAAGACAGATCTTTTACGCGATCGTCGAGTGTCGATCTGGACTTATTCCTGGAAACTCCGTCTCTCACCCGCAGACGCCGGAGCGTCTACCGTCCAGCCGTCTGGAGCACCTCGGCCTGACGCGGAAAAACGCAAATCATTTCCCAGATGCTTCGACGTATGCGGGTATTTCGGTAGTTTTCGTAGAAGACCAAAAAATCAATAGACCGACATTCCCATCGATAAAGATCTCGGATAAAGACGATTCCTCGTGAGAATCTCTGTTTCGTTCCGGAGGCTATTGTGCTTTATCCGACGACGACTTTAGCGTTGGATGAGTTTCATGGCTTCCCCGCGTTGCGCAGACTTGGGTGAATCGGACTCTGCGTCGTTGTAAACTTTCTCTTGCTCGGATTGCCCCAGTTTGTACCATGGGTGGAGAAAACAGCCCGTCCGATAGGCCCAGAATTCTCCAAGTCCAGCCATCCCGCTAATTTGTGTTTGAGGCTGCGACGATTGGTTCTCCGCTCTCAAGAATCGAGCGACTCCTCTTCATTCCGATTAAAGAACTCGAAGAACATAGAAACTGGTGGAGTCACTCTACGGATCCGTAAGTCGTAACAGCTACTAGCCGTGAGCCTCGTGATAAGAAACTTGAACGGAAGACACGTGCATGCGACAGTATTTGCGGCTTGGTCGACTCCCATTGTCTAAGGTCTGGAATGCAAGTATCGGGGGGAATGCCCCTCCTCTACTCCTAGACGTTCTGACGACTGAATCTCGAGGACCAGGTCGCTCAGTACATTCTCCCCTTCGGCCGGAGATTACGAACCAGGCTCCGTCTGTCTCAGAGACCATGATGGCTCATCTCAGCGACCGACTGCCTGCGATCACAAGTTGAAGGCTCGGCTTTAAAACTCGCGGCTCGGGTACCAGGGGTGCAGGCATGCGGGCGATGCAGGTTCACGGTGAAGAATGCCCGAGGCATTATCCCGAGTCCATTGTGTCGGGATTCTTTCCGAGTGTGAGCGGCCCCTCGTAGCTCGTGCTGCGGATTCTCTCTTGTTATACCCCCGAGGAGTCGGAGTTTGTGCATTGCGCGGCACATATGTTCCGAGGGGCTTCCATCGGCCGGGCGACAGGATGACCATCGCTCAGGAACAGACATGAGAGAGACAGTCCCGAGAAGACACAGTTCTGGGATTCGTTCGATATTTCACTTCTCAGAAAGGGGTGAATCGTCCTTTCGCCCATGGGATGGAGGATCTACAGGGAGGCTCTAGTGCCCTGGGGCTGATAGTGATCTTCAACGAAGTCTCGTCGTTTTCTGCAGTATTCGTTCCGTAGGATTGATTCACCGAGTTTTATTTCCGAAACGATGGCATCGCGTTATTGTCTGTCTCTGGTCATCCCTGGACCAGCTGACTCACCTCAAAGGTTTTCTAGCTTGATGAGTTTCTTGGAAGCTCTCGGAACATCAACAATCCTCATGTCAAAGTCTGATATCCTTTCGAACAGTGTCCCGGCAACGTTTGAAAGTTCACGCACTGCACTTGGAAAACTGAGGCCAGAAGGCAGCGGAGGTCTCTATAGAGAACCCGAGTCGGACATCGTAAGAGTGACCGGTCAGTCAGCCCTGGAAATGTTTGTGTTACTCCGAGTGCTAATGTTTTGGTATCAGAGACCCGTCTCTCCGTCGCGATCCGTTTCAGAAGTGGCGAGCGAAGAAGAACGCGCGAACCGACGGAACTCTTGCGATGGGGCGCCGCGGCTCACGACACCTGATTCTGAGAGGCGTGAAGAATTCCCGAACCGCTATCAAGACTCCAAGATCCTCAGAGTTCGAATGCAGCTTGACTTCAAACGTCCGGAATGCTTGTCCTCTGAGCCTGCGGAATCGAGTCGGGAGACTGTATCTGCTCCGGGGAGCATCCTATTCGAGCCTCGGTATCCGCTTCGTACTTCCATAATGCTTGGATCGGTTCTGCTCGCAGCGCCATCTATTAACCGGTGATTCCAACTTACGCGACAGAAAAAAGAAAGAGACTCTTAAAGGAATGTCAACAGGCATCGGAATGCTCGAATATATGTGATCCGTCAGAAGCGGATCGGAACAACGTTTTCGACTATTAATTACGTATGCGACAGGAGCTTGACTATAGCCAGCCGTAGGAACAAGCAATTCCAGATCATAAAAGTGTCTCCCGGGATCCGTTGAAGCTGATAGCTTCAAATGCGCATACGGCGCGTGTATCTGCGGTTTGAATACGAAAATCGCGACGAGCTCAGGAACGGTTAATTCGTCCGCGGAAAAGAAAAAATTCGACAGGAGCAAAAAATCACGATGGATCGTGAATCTAGGGGCTCGGAGCTCATTCAGCTAGAGGACCATTCGCGCACCGCCATGATTTCTGATTTTCGAACCAGAAACGCGACAAAAAGTGTTCCTCCCACATCGATTTCCAGCTGGGGATGTCCAAGGTCACGTGTTTTGACTCGATCTTTTCTCCGAACTTCAGATGCGACCTGCACTCCGGAATCGTCGGATGGTCAATGATCAAACTATCTTGTGGGACTGTACGGTCCAACCTGTGATCAACCGCTCCCTTTTCGCGGAAGCGGAGAGCATCGCGACTTCAGCGGTTAGGGGCATTCGCTGTCACCTTCTCGTTGGCGGAATCAGCGGAATTAGATAGCCAAGTACGCCCGGCGAAGAAGAGGAAGGTCCCGGGATTTCCTGCGTGTATGTTCAGTGAAGCCAGACAGGATTTCGAAGAATTCGGGCTTCCTCACGGAGCAATCACTGATGCAGGTAGCGACATATCGGTATGCTCCTGTCTCTATTGTGGGGTTAGCTTCTCCGGGGAGTCGGTCGTTGAGCAATCAACGATCGATTTGATCTTTCGCGTCAGATGAGGCTCGCGACAAGAGGACCACCCGGAGTGCGTGTGGGGTTCCGGAGGAATTCAAGGTGTGGTTAGCGACACTGCGCCCATTAGGACCTCAGGAGGACCCCAATGGTGAGGAACACTTTTGAGCTACCGGCTAGACGGTCAGACAGCTCAATGGTGGTCATCAGGAAGCGTAAGCGCCATGATTTCAATAATTTGTCACATTTCGAGTGGGGAATCACACACAACTTTTTTCAAGTCGCCCCCGATGGAATCCCGGCTCGAGATCAGCATTTGGTCACTCCCCATGAGGAAGAGCGCTACCTTCCTGATAGATGGGAGGGCAAGGCAGAAACTATCTAGTATCTAGTCAAAATCAACGAATGCAGACAGCATAGAGTGAGACATCCCTTGTCACTTTATTCAGGAAAGAATCGGAAAAAATAGGCGGAGTTGGCGCCGAGTCGCTGATTTGCGTCCAAAGTGTTCTAATCGAGTGTTGGTGGAGTAAGGAAACCGTTGTCATCCATTTTCTTACATTCGAATGGAGTAGATTTACCTGCATCATCAAATTCTCATACAAGCCCGCCCCCTTCAAGTCTCAATCTTGATATAAGCGTCTTTCCCGAATGTCTCGCTTCACTCAAATATGATTGTATATAAATAAATTTGGAATTTCTCCTAAATATGCTCCTTTTCTCGCTCTTGTACACGTCTCATTCACCAGAAAGTATCACATTTAACGCTCACAGGAAAACCATCACACTTGCCGGCGGGTTGAGCATCTCGTACGCCAGTCACTTAAGGCGTAGGAATTTGCCTCTATCGTCTCCGATAGCTCGACCTCGTTCTCTTTACAAGTCCTCCCCTCCTTCACCCCGCAATTCTCGGTACGTGTGCATTCACTGTACGTGGGAATCCGGCTTTCTCTAACTGGAAGTCCAGATGCAGGCAACCTGCCCAGGTGGATTGGGGTGTCGTCGGCAACACGATCTTGAGACCTTGCGTTCGAAAATATTGCGCCTATCAAATTTGAATATGAGTATTTACTAGCTGTGTCTTTTCGATTCCTCTCTGTCATTTTTCTCTACAGCGTGGTTCGTCCGGCCCATGCGTGGGAATTCTCTAGAATCTAGACTACTCGGACATTTCCCATGGTTACGATGGCAGCTGCTCGAAGATCCGCTTCGAATACGTTCCTAGGTTGAGACGGAATTTCCCTGAAAATCCTTCGCATCTGATCAATCAGCTGACTGCCCCTCCGACGGCTATCGAGGCGGCGGCGCTCGTGGACCCTCCATGGGCCTCCTCGCTGCAAGCGCAGGCTGCCTCGGTCGATATATTCGGACGTCTTTGATAGTCTCCACCGAGGATTCCGATTGATTTCCCCAAGGATTCCTCCTTCTCATCATGTCATCGAATGAAAATCTAAGCTGTACAGTATGCGCGGTCGAGAATGAAATTCTCTGTGAAAGATCGTCAATGGCACATTGGCTCGGTCTAGAACGCAAATGCTTTGGCACAAACAATCAGAGTGTAGCTTCCTCAATATCTACAGAGCCCTCGTAGTACCCACGGAGCGTTTCGGCACGGCTCAAATACATCTGTATATAGAGACGAATAAATATAGAAGTAGGCTGATCTATGCGGAATGTACAGGCGTTTCTCCTTTTTTACATATCTACAGCTGCCACTGGTTTGGTTGTGCACGTATTCTTTCTATGAGACGATTCTACATTTCACATGGACGAAGTGACTTCTTCGATGACGTCAACCGAGCATATTGCGGCCTGAGAGGGTCGGTGGAACAACGAACGGCGCGGTGAAGCTCGTCTCGGGACAGGCGGTGAAGTCTCGACGAGTCGCATACAGTTCGGACAGTGATCGCAGCCGTAAGCTTGAGGGTCGTATATCGGGTTGCTCGAGAGCGACCCCCTGAAACCGAGAACACGGATGCTGATTTCCTATTCGGGAGGATAATCTTCTCTGAAAGACTAATGATTTTATACGCTGAGCAAAGAGTCTCGCGCTTTCTGAGCTTACCTCCGGCCGTTCGCTATGCGAGCCCGGCGTTCGATTTCTTGCGAAGCCGCCTTCGTCAGATTGTTCTCATATTCGGACAACATGAGATACTTTTCTTCTTTATTGCACGACGTAATACAATCATCGATCAGGTCTTCCAAAAGATTATCCATTATAGCCTCCTGGAATTCGTGAACCGAAATCAGCCTATCGACCAGCCTCGTGCAAGGAATCAGGGAGGACAGGAGCCTTTCAGACCAGCTGATTGCAGTGCTCCGAAATAGAGCTCTCACGTCCTTGAATGACTTTTCTAATTCGAAGGCGAATATCGTAATGAAATCGAACCTCGGAGATGCAGGTGAGTTCTTGCCGCCTCAAATCGGCATAATTACTGAAGGTGAGGCTCCGTTGGCTCTGCAGCATGCGCGGAAACATAACTATCGAATCTTGGACCTGAAATTCGAACAAACGGGAGAATAAATCACAAACTCTGCCATCGCTTTCAATGCTGAAAATTCCTTGATTTTCAGAATGACTGAGGAGAGGAATGACTGTCGGTATCACTCACAGATGATCGGCGACTTGGAAGACCATTACCAAGCTCCCCGTTGGGAGCGTCGGAGCACCTTCTACAATCCCTCTCACTGAGCTGATCCTTGAGGAAAGTTTTCGCAGAGCTCGGTCGTGTGCGCTTGTGCACATCGATTAGGAAAAGGAAGAAAGCGCCGAAGAAGGCACAGCCTGCTGAGACGAAGTAGCCTCGGCGGTCCCCATAATATTCATTCAGGAAAGCTGGAAAACAAATTGGTTTCTGACCAACCGAAGGAAGATTGCGGAGGAATGAAGCGTCCTCGCGAAGGAGAAAAAACGCGAATGCTCACTTGTTATAGGAGGTCCTATGAGTATCGGGATAGCTTGAGCACACTGGATGAAGCCCCAAGCTTTAGCAAAATTTCTCGCCCTAACTTTTTCCAGGGTGAACATCTTCAGAGAATAGAGATACGCTCCATAGAAAGAGCCATAGCACCATACGAACGTGAGATATCCACTGTAAAGAAATCGAACAGTTTACACGATGATCGTCCCTCGATCGATCCTGGGCGCCATCACCAATTCTCGCCCCCCAACCTCGGGCGAATCTCATCCCGATGGTACCGATCACCAGCGCGGGAGTTCTGGACAGGGAAAGCTCGAGCGCTGCGACGAGGGATCAATTCAGATGGGGACTGGGAGGAATTCATCTAATCACTCGAGGATAACAGCGATTCCCGGGATATCCTCCGCTCACGAGTCTGACAGAGTGCTCGACGACTCCAGCCATTATTATAATGAGGTCATCTCTTATGGGGCTAGAAATAGTGCTGATGGATCGTCTTCTGCCGTTATTGGGCCCACCGAACGCTCTTGCTGCGAGGAGTGCGTCCTATGAGAGATATCGTGAACATCACGAACTCCGTCGCAAGGCAGCAAATGATCGAAACGCTGCGACGCGACGGAGGCTTCGAGTGAAAGCGTCATCGGAGAATCGCAAGTCATCGAGCCCTTGTTGGTGTCAACTCCATCAGCTGAGTGCGAGGAGTGTCGCTGACCTCATCAATTTACAGCACTAGATGCAGTCTGGGAACTTTGCCACTTATGCAACCGCTCGCAGCACGATCCTTCTTGATCGTATCACCGACTGATCGACAGAGTTTCGGCAGGAACTAAACGGAACAGAGGGAATTCAACGATACCAAAGACGCACCTGTAGTCATGTATAGTTGTACACAGCAGCATTGACGCTCCGAGAAGGGCGCAAGCTCCTTGGCAGAGGTATTGCCTTGCAATGTGGCAGTTTTCGGGATTATTCACAATGATACACCCGTAACAGAGGGAACCCAGAATGAATGAGAGTCCGAGGAAGACCTGGAGGTAGAGCAGAGACGATCTCGACAGGCCGTCTTCCTCCGCCTGATAAACCTGCGAACAGAAAGATACCACTCATCAGACGAGCCGCACTGCTCGAGGAACCTTGCCAGAGGTCCGGGCGCTTCCACCGTCCGGCATGATAATCGGCGCGTATGAGAATCGATATTCTTGTGTATTTCCTTTAATTTTGAATTTTTTTACGAATAAATGAATTGTACGTATCAAAGTCGATCCGGGTAGCCCGGCGTGAGGATGAGGCTCTCGGCCTTGATTCTTTTGGAACTTGATTCGAAACAGCCTTCGTCCGAGATCAATATTCGCGAGATAGCAATATAGGTTTAGCTAGGGCGTGATATTTGATCTCTGCCAGGATTCGAGAGGGTCCGAAAGGCTTCGGAAGAAAGTTGCCTCCGAACTTCCGGCGAATCTCGCAAGAGCTCATCGATCTTGGCTGGGTAAACAGAAATAGAATATCGAGATTTCTGGGGAACGACGAGGACAGTGAGGCAATGGTCCGGCATACGTAAAGATAGCAACCATGTATCAGTCTACGATTCATTCATCTTCCCGTATCCGCTGAGTCGGTCGTCAAAGGTATCGCTTGGTCGGATTCGGTGCCTGTTTATTCGTGTTGCGATCTATAAGCTGCGTCTATATTAATACATCGATGTGTGTATACACCGGTGTCCATGACTTATGGCGGCTCGGAAATGTTTGACAGAGGCATTAACAAACACCACCACCCCTTGACAAATGACCGAGTGCATCCGGCACACAATCGGACGGCGGATGAGCTCCGCTGGCTGTTGGCAAGCGCTTGGCAGCGTGGCGCGGCGGTGCTCTCAGCGTCAATTGAAGCCTCCGATTCCAGTGTGTTCTATGGACATCCAGATCCCTTATCTATTCAATTTGGAAAGTAAGAATTCGTACTCACAAACAGAATCATTGGCGATGAGACGCCGATAGCGGCTATGGCCGTACCGATGATCAGGATTTGAACGGTGCGCGATTTTAGAACCCCGAAGTCGAAGAAAGGCACCTTCTCAATCGCTGGGTTCTTGTCTTTAGCTTTAGACCTGGAAAGTGATCATCTTGCTTGATTTCGGAAATTTCTACCGGAAGTTTCCCCCATCCTCTTCTATGTAGACACCGCCGACAACGACCCCGATTTCCACCCTTGAGCGGCGACCCTTCGGCCCTCCCGGTTGGCCTCTGCGAGCTTTGTTCGGATATAGGCTCGGCGAAAGGTCCGAACGACAACGACAGGTCGGGTATTCTGTTGAGGGTCCTCGTGAATTGAAATCGGCAGCTGATAACTCTATTGATCGTCTTGACGGGATCTACGATGGATCACACTCGGGAAAAGGATTGATATTGCTCTCCGTTCTACCTCTTCTGCATGCTCTTCAGATGGAGAATAGCTCGTCGCTGAGGATGGTACAGCGAAGCAGGTCGGTAGAAAATTCCGAGGATGAATGTACTGAACACGATTCCCGTCAACGCTTGTAGTCCGAGACGCCAACCTATGGACCTGGAAGGGAAAATCGATTTAGAAAATGAGGGCAAATCGGCTCCCTTCGTGATCCACACCTACTCGTTTCATTCGCCGTGGAGTTCTGAGTGCGGACTATCGGATTTCAAGAGGCTCGCTGGAGAACTCAGCGGTCCTATTCCGGGGGAAAAACATCCCCGGAAACTCATCCTGAGACCGATCAGGAATTAGAATGACCGTGATCCCATCGAGCTCTGGAGCTTTTCTCCGATCCATCGGAGCTCGAGCTCCGAGGTGGAGGGGTTGCTGGGAGCGTGCCCGAGGTAGAAAATCCTCAGCCCTTGAAAGAGGGGATCGATGTCCGTCAAATCGACGGCAACAACCACGATAGAAATCACGACGATGGCCGCGACGGCAAGGTGGCCTAGATTTGGTGTAAACTACCTTGGACACAATGACCTGATTGGAAGGGACCCACTCGTCCCACGCGTCCCCGCTATTCAGCGATGTCGACCGGATTTTCAAAAGTGATCTTGGCACAGCCCCGAATGTGACCCGACCAAGACCTGTGACGCTGTCAGGGCCTCATTGACAAACCAAGTACGATACGTCAGGGAACGTTCCAAAAATGTTCACCCCGAGTCCTTGGCAGCGATCTGTATTGGAGACTAAGTCAAGGAAATATTGTTGCACCGTCTTGTTGCTCCCTGAAATCAGTCCTCCTTTAAGTTGTCCGCCTCCGCCCGGGAGAAAGCGCTCGGTGGACTTTGTCCTCCCGTTCCCGAGACGAGCATCACTCACTGTTCAATCAGGAATCGTTCGATATTATCTGAGACATTGAATCTGTCGACGCTGCGATCGAGTAATTTGATATTCATCGGTCACTCAAGCGATATCGATTCATTCATTCACTCTCAGTCGGCAGTGGAATGCTGAGGGATTTTCGGTGTCTCACTGGAGCGGTCGTTGACTTTTCTGACGAGCCTCCAGAAAAAGTCGCCCGTACCGATGCTTCAGTTCGCGCACAGTCCGCAGCAGGATCGCCTCAACCCGGGGCCCCATCGGTTTCCCGCAGACGTCGAGCGGTGACCTGTGCGCCAGCTGATCTGGGTTGCGGAAAACAAGTGGAGCACCGCAAGGAGCCGCTGTGGCGCTCCGCCAACAGCCTTGTGAAGGCTGCCGAAATCTTCAGAAAATCCCGCGTTTTCAGACAGGGTGCCGCGGAAAGAAGATCCAACGCCGCGGAAGAAACTTCAGAGCATCGCAACGCTGCTAAAAATTTGTCTTCGAAGAGCATGCGGTACCGCTTCAAGGTAAGCGTACGCCAGCAGTACGGAATGTGCGCCGCCGTACGTTATCCTTGGCCCTGTTCCGCGTGCAGCGTACCGCGACGGGCGCTGCGAACTAAGAACTGTGTGTGCGTCGGACTGGATCCGCAATGATAATGGAGGCGGGAAAATAAATAAATATCGATAAAGCTCGAGCCCAGACCAGTTTCGTCTTCTTTCCAAGCAGGAATTTTTTTCAAAAGCAAGAAACGATGGTCCGGAAATCAAGACCCGGAAAATCCGAGCAAGACTCTTGAGGATCCGACTTGTAGCTCGCAGAAGCCCACCCTGCGCTGTCCCTCTAATCGTATTTATCGCTGGAACTTCTTTCCGAGTGCTTTCGCCACCTTCTCGAATCCCGTTCCTCGAGAGTTCCGGGTGTCACTGCTTCACCCCGTCCGAAACAGCCCACGGTGCGTTGCAAAGCGTCACCCTCTTTAGAAACGTGCGTTGTTTGAAAGGTCGCTTGTCAGCTTGCCACTCGCCAACCATGAAGAGGGTGAAGTGGACCCGGGTCGTGGTCAGTCAAGCGAATCTTCAAGGGGCCCTATGGGCCCCTGGCTCGCAGTGCTGAGGCCCGGAGGCCCGCGCAGCGCTAACCCAAATAACCAAACGTAACTGGGTCGCAACCCAGATCGCTGTGGGGCCCCTAGCAGCGTCTGGGGCCCGAATCGCCGGGCCTCGAGCCCTGCGAAGTAATGCAACAGAGCTGAAGTCTTCCACGATTCCGTTTCCCCTTCGCGCCATTGTGGCGTGAAGGCGCGCTTCCCCTTCCGATTCGGTAACATTCGCAGACACTAAGCTGGAAAGAAAAGCTGAGTGCGTAAGGGAGCTGGTTCCAAGCAGCGTGGTTTCCCGCGTTTTCGTGTACACCGGTCCGAGTCGGAAGCAGATCGGCAATGTACCGTGGCCCATGAAATGCCCGAATGGAACTAGCGAGTACACTGAGAGGATTCGAGGAAAGAGAGATACGCGGAATCGATATCTCCAGCGGTCGGGAAACTAAGTCCATTCTGGTAGACATCGATTCCGGAAACGTCTTTAACGTGGTTGTCCCGGATAAAGGGACTTCGATCAATGTTGGAAAACCCGTCTCGGCGGGCGTGTCTGAGGAAGGAGAACACATCGAGTACACGGGCTCAGGCCCCAGTTCAGACATCGCTGAAGAGCTGAGATAGTCCCCGATATGGAGAGTAACGAGTTCGAAGAACTCGGAGATCTCGGTGTCCTTCGCCATATCTACGTACATGAGGTTTCTATCATACAATTATACCACAGGGGCGATCTTCCCGTTAGTGGCGAAACGAGATGGGAAATCTGAGCCGTATTCATTGGCCGAGCAAAAATTTTGTCGATTCTGATTCCGTGGCGATTCCATAGCGAATCCGCACCCAACATGATGCGATATTCAATCGAGCGATAAACTACCGATGATGGAATTCCGAGCTTTTCTCCTCGGTAGAGTGCTTCCAGCTTCAATATTTCCGTAGAATGGAGCTTCGCAGACAGCCCAGAACTATTTGAATTTAATGCTTCGCGCTGTGTCTGAGCGCTAGAGATTCGCCATCGGATTCTCTGATCGCGGCTCGCAGGGGGAACGCTCGCTGCAAGCCTGCCGTGGATTCGATCGGTGATTGCGACACTGCGAATCAGCACCGAACGTTACCCATGTCCGATTTCCGTCCTCGGGATTTTTTCCAGATATCGTCGGGAACGTTAGTCGTTCCCTTGCGATACCAACCCAGCCAGACAACACAAGGGGCCAAATCAATCGGTTCTGTGCGAAGTGGCCAGCGACCGAGGACGATAATCGGCAGAAGAGGCGAAGAATTCCTCAGTCGTAAGAATTGACAGCAGAGACAAATATTCGGCTGTAGTATGTACTGTGTGGCGCAATGCCGAAAGAAAACTGGCCCCACTGAGCGGGTAGTTGCACATTGCGGTTCTCCGTACGTCGTTGAGTCGACCAGAAAACGTTCGAGGAAAGGTACTATTCTTTCAGGATGTCTCTTTCCGCAACCGATTCATCCAGCGGGCCGGTTGGCCGACCGACAAGCCAGCCGACGGACGAACGGATCGACAGACCGTCCAGCCTTGCGGTAACCTCGCAGCTCGTGGTGGCTCCGTATTCCGTGTTTGTGTAATTTGCCACCGGCGGCCTTGCCCCTCACCGAGTGACCGTGGCCTCGAGCGTACTCAATGAACCCGAGACTGTACTTCAAGTAGGAGATAGTACACGCCAATGCTGTTCAGAGTAAACTCTTAAAGTGTGCATACGCTTGCTCGTTTCGTACCAAAATCCAGTCTATTTTAGCAAGCGAAGGTCGCTGGAGACGTTTCACGGTCACGCCGGGCTGCCGAAGGACGTCGTCGGTCTTAAAATAGGATTCTGGGTTCCGCCGCTTCGCCTTGGCCTACAGAAACAGGAGAGAAGCCTATGAAGTACTCCGCTAAAGGGAAAGGATGGCGAATGCAAGATCGACTCAGAATTCACTTCGCTAGCGCCATTTTCGAGGGATTATGGAAGTCTGCCTCGCGAAGCAGCTCGCCACGGACCCAAGGCGAATTTCGATGTGCGCGGTGATCAGGAGCCAGATTCGGGTTTATTCGTTCTCCGTGCATTTCGGATAGTTTTCTTTAACTCGACACTCTCATAGGATCTCGCGTCGTGTGATTGGAGGCTTCCCCAGCTTTACGGGATCGATATTCCCTGAAGGTTCTCTGCGGCTCTGGAGATCGGACCAACCGAAACGCTCAGGGCTCGCCCGCGTTCGTTTGCCACATGCTCGGATAGTGGAAACGAATCCGTGGTGTGCAACCGAATGGATGAAATCACATGTCTGCAAGTGACGTTTATTTCGAGGGAGGGATTCCTTCAAGTGCTTTCAGTGGAGGCATTCGAGGGGAGGCTGACGGGTAAATACGGTGATGGCTGCGTCACATTTTCCGCTCACTGGAATGTCGTTCATGAGATCGATGGATTCGTTTCTATTTGAGCATATTGCTCGGTCGAACAGCAGATGCTCCAATGCGGTCGGAGCATCAGCAAAAGATATTGAGGTAGCGAGGGAGCGCGAATCGAGTTAGAGGACCGTGGGGAGTGATTGGGCCAGAACGCAATTCATCGTGCGTCGGGACGCGACAAAACTCGCGGTCGGAGAACACATGGTCAGACACGCGTGTTAGGACCTAGGTCCCTTGATAGAGGCATGTTGTACTTGTCCTCCTGAACTCCCGGAGAGAAGTTCCCATCTGTTGCGATGGAGTCGTCTCTCATAATTTGTGGAGTAATAACAGCAACCCATTTGGAAGACAAGCGTAGAGAAAGTGGAGCTCGTCACTCATCCGCCGCTCACTGGAAGTGAAACCCAGCCAATCGGCCGCATCGTAGGGGCCACACTAGGCGAGCGACGGCTGTCTGCGGAGGAGAATTCAGACAACAGCAGCGTGAATAAACGACGAACCCGGGGGGCAGCTGCATCCGATGGAGTTGGCCGACCAGGAAGCAACAAAGACTCTTCTGAGGATCGACTGTCGTTCCCAGATTCATAGGAATCAGCGGAAACTCCAACGTTTAAGCGATACCCATCCTTCCTAGGGAACGGCCGCCGTCTCAAATCTGGAGACTTTTGTGGTACATGGGGAAGTGTCTCAAGGCTATATTTTCAGAGCTCCAGAATTCACGGAAAGCAGCGATTCGCGTGGAAGATTGGAGCGGGGGACCTCCGCTCCTGAAAAATTATAGAACTAGTCACTCCACGGAACGTAGGAACGCGATGACGATTCGGTCTTTCTGGCACCTGGAGTCTGATGAACCTCAAGAGTGACCTCAGCTCCAGAGTCGACGTGTGTCTATGACAATGAAGCCGTGCAGTTTGCGATTCAAGCCCAGCATGAGATTGCGAAACCTTCTGCCGGTCGCCTTCAGGAACGTATTTTTCCCTCTATTGTCACCCTTTGCATAGTCCATTCAGACCGCAGAAAGGTCAATCTGAGTTCTCTATATCAGAAAATTCAGGGGGGAGAATATTCCCCACAAGCCCAGGGCGCTGCATCTATTTCCATCGGTTCTCTCTTCCTGATTCCGAAATATACCGCTATTATCAAAATGGGGAATACGAATCCGATGCCGCACTTCTTGCCAGCGGGACACCAGCCTGAAAACGGTCACCTCTACCTGGAAAAATTGAGGCCTCCAGAGTCGCAGTCTCTGCATGATCAAGAGATTCCGCGTCGGCTAGGTCACTGCGTCCACGGTTTGTCGGGAAGGGCAAACTGAACGTCCGGCGACCGTACTCGATTCAGTCATATCATATCTTCGTCGATGGTAAAAGAAATGTTTCAATGTGAGATACATATTCTCTTTGTGGGTCCGGTATCCCTTTTTAGATTGACAAACCCTCGATCCATTTCGAGTCGAACGAGACGAGACGCAGGAAAGTTTGATCCACAGCGATGTATCAGGACGTCGAACCCTCGGGAAGCGGCACAAGTCCCCATCAGTCTAAAGTGCATGCCTTGGTACATCAAGGTCATCTTCGACCCTTCGCTCAAGAGCTCAAGATCTGACCTCCGTTGGGGAATTTGGTAAGAAAAAAATTCTCTTTCGCTGAGGATTTTCGTCTAGCTCAGCCGTGTACCCAGTAGAGCATCAGGTGCGTCGCTGCTAAGGTGCCAGAAGATATCGGAATCCTTTAAAATCCGAACAATCCTACAATTTCAAAGTCTGATCCGGCTGTCGTCTCGGGAGCGAGTTATCGACAATAGAGGACTTGAGGGAAATCCTAGTGTTGAGCTTTTGGTCGCTACCAACACCGGCTACCCACCTCCCGCGACTCTGTTTTTAAATCGCCGTTCCACATCGAGAGTCCTCAACAGAGGGCTGTCTCAGATTTCCCCCGAATCAATCTCGGGCCTTACGACAAGACAATTCGCGCGAAATGACTTCTTTGGGGCCCATTCGCTTTCATTAAAACCTTCAAAATCGCTGCCATCCGATAAGCTTCGTAGAAGTCCTTAACTAATGAAGATCAAAGTCTTTCCTAATGGCTGCAATTCTCCTTCTTGATCGATAAGTAATAGTTTGCCTGCCTCGACGAACCAAAGGGTACTAGAAGCGGGTCTAGACGGAGAGAGTCGTCTGACCATCCCGAAGTCGATGAACTTCTGGCAGACCCCCAAGGGAAGGATGGCCTGCTCAGGGGATCTTTCGTATCTGAGGGTCTTAAACGCTGACAATCCTGTGGAGCGCTCAAGGTTGGATAATAAAATTGAGCTCCCCGGGGATATTCCTAGTGGAGGTAAAAGCGGAGCGTTCATATTATTACGAAGCAAGCAGTCGAATCGCGATTATCGTCGGAAAACAAATCGACGTCTCGGCTACAACATTGTTAGTTCAGGATTCTGGAGGAGTCGCTCGATCCCGCGGAAATGTCTCCTCTATCTCATGATCGTTGAAGTTATCAGACTCGGCTTTCCCGAATTCGCAGTGATTCAGAAAGAGCGTTGCCCAAACCATCGGGTCCCAGGACATTCGCTACCTACGTAGCGCCACACGTACACTCGAGGATTTCTCCCCTCGCGAGCGCCGGCATTCCGCAGCGAATGCTCGAGATAATACTGCCGAAGTCAAGCTTTCAGTCAATTGATTCTCCTCCGTATGTAATCTCGCTCGTCGTCGTCTGCTTGTGAATGGCAAGAGTGCAAGCAAGTCTCCCCTCATTGACTTACCCCTCCTCCCCCTCCCACTCTTTCCATCTAATGGCGGAGAAGTGCTCTGATTCGGAAAAAGCGAAAACAGAGCTACCATGTTCCGCCTCGTGCGAATCTTCTTGCAGCGGATTATTTTGGCCCGCCAGTCGATGTAGAGTCGTCCTTCCAAATCTCTCCGATTCCTCCGAAGACCTCGAAATGTCGACTGGGCAGGGTTGAGGCTTGAGAAACACATATTCGCGCTCTTCGGGGTACTTATCGATCGAAACATCCAATATTCCAATCGAGGTGATGAGCGAGAAGTTCTCGCACATGATTCGAGCGATCTGCGAGATGATTGCTAAGCGACCTGCCCTAGGACTCCTTCGCCTTTACTGAGAAATGGAATACTGAGAATTCTTCCCGGAGACTCTCGAAAAGATATCTGCGGCTCATAATTCCTAGCGTTCCCCGATGCCATAGAGGAAAGGGGAACGGAGAATCAATCTCCCCCTTTATGTGTCACGCCCGAGAGATCACGGCGCTACCAATCCCTCGACTGTAGCTGTAGACTCATCTCGTCAATGGATTTGAGACACGCTGATCATTAAAGCGCGGACCAGAATCAGTCATCTCCTCGAAATCGCGATTCCTGATCCACCTCCTCCCGATCCGAGAATCTCAACGGGAAGTTCATTTACTTACGCAGGCTAACCTCGCCGAGTTCTCGACTTCTCCGCGATAGCGATCTTGAAGAGGGATATCCCGCCCCGATATTTTTGAGATTATCCCTGAAGAACATAGTCGCAGATATTTCCCCCTAATTATTTTCTTCCGCTCATTGGATGCTCCTCCAGCTTGCTCCGTCCCGTCGACGCCTTTAGAAAAACCCCAAGAGAATGAGGGCTCCTTGTTACTGTTTTTTCCGTTGGTAGATTTAACATTCGTGGGTTCTCTACTGTTCTCGCTTGGAAAATGAGAGTAGAATCGAAGAAACTGAAAGCCACCGACCCACACCCTATTTTCCTCCGCCCACAGTCTCTACAAGGGAACGCCATTATTCCGAAACAACATCTATGGCGAAGCGAGCGACGGGCGGCAGGTGAGTCAGGACAGGAGATTTTACGCTCGAATCGTCGCGAGCAAGCTTGACAACAGGCCTCCTGCTTGACATCCGGTACACGTACATCCGAGCTTCCGCGCTCACTTCCGGGCTTCCCGGGACTGACCGGTCCAAAGTAGTCCTAGGGTCCCGGACAATAGGCCTCAGATGGGAAATATTCACTCAAAGAGAAGCGGACACCGGTTGTTTGAGGAACAGGATCATCGGAAGGCAGAGTCGCCCATCTCAGGAGGCCGTGCGCATTCTCCGTGGAATGAAAGAGCAGGTCATTCATCTGAGGTATTGGGAACACGCCGCTATTCGTGTCGCTGGAAACTCCTAGCGGGGAGACTCGTCCAACAACGAATTCAGTCCGAGATCTCGCTCCAAGCAGTGCTGCATTAATTCGGTGGAAAGAACTCTCAACACAATTCAGTCTTGTCTCCGGCAGCCTCCAGCCGACTCTGCCGGAGTGTTTCGTGATATTATACCCTTGCCTGTATTGCTGACTATTGCGTCTTGCGACATAGAGGATGCCCGCGAGATTACTAGAGCAAATCCATGGAATCAGGATGGGTGAGTACCTTCACCGCGAGCTATATCTAATTTTTTATCAAATGAGATCTTCAAACCCTCTACGCTCAGGAAATGAGTCAAAGGGAACTTGTGGGTATCATGGAGTCCGTAGGTCCAAAAATTAAATTTGAATAGAGAATAAAATCCTGAGTGTTTCATCCTCAGCGCGGAGAGCCCTCTGTTTTCCTAAATCATGTTTCCCCCCTCACTCTAGGACGAGAAGCTCATTTATAGCTAGAAATCTTGTCTGTTCTCCCTCGGGAACATCCCGTGAGAGACATACAATCGGCTTCTGAAGACAAATTGGAGCTCCCGAGACCGCTATCGCTCGATACCGCCCTAATGTCGAGCTACTCCCCCAACTCACTACCGGAGCATTCGAGGGGTTCACGTGGAGCTGATGAAATCCGAATGATCCAGCTCAGGGGTCGGAAAACAAACTCCGCGGGCCATCAAATGTCTATTGTCGAAGGAGTCGGCGTGTAAGAGTCATTATATCTTCTCGGCAAACTCTCATGCATGAGAGGTCAACTGTCAATAGATTTTTTCCGATTTCCGCGTAAAGGTTCTCTTCGGTCTCGGACATTATCGCCGGTAGCGAAAGCACTGATGATGTCGGTGCTGATTCGAGGGACGCGCACAACTCACCGAATACATTCAACGATGAAGATTGGCATCACAGAAATTCCGGTGCCGGTTCCGGTTGCCAAGATGAGCTCGACGAGTTCTCGGCGTTTCTTGAAGTACTGTCCAACCATGAAGACTGAGCAGTCTCTAGTCATTGAGATTCCACAGCCGAGAATGAGGCCTACAAAGGGGCAGAGACAATGTTATAACTCCGGGACTTACCGTCTTCCCTCAGTGGTTCTTGTGGGAGCCGACAGCTCCGGGAGTCAGAATGCAGAATCGATCATAAACTCAGCTTAAGCAATAAAATCTAACTCAATATATCATGGATGCGGCTTGTGAAACAATCACCCCAAAGAGAATATATCGGCTCTTGTCGGACGGGGATCCGGGGAGTTCGAAAACAGTCATCGAAAGTCAGCGAAAATCGAGAGTACAAAAGAATGGTGCCGCCGGTTTGCTCAGAATGGTGAATGACATCAAGATATTCTTCTAGCAGTGTTTGGTGTAAGACGTCTGACTGATATTTTCTTCCCCGAATTCCCGCAAATTCGTCATAAGAAGATTACACACGGAGTCCTCTGATAATGCAATGGATAGAAGAGCTTAAGGGGGCATCCCGATCGACGGAGAATCTTGTTATCTTGTCGCTACGACAATGGACTTACCGTAGCTGATGAATAGCTGATGGAACTGGGAGGCGAAAGACGTGAAGAGAACGGCCAACGCCGCCACAAGTCCTCCGAGGACGGCAAGTAGACGGGTGCTCTTCCGACGGCAAACGCCAACGACCCATGGCGAGCAGAAGAGGGATACCGCCATTGACATAGCGCCCAGGCAAACTGCGGAAGTATACCTCTTTCAGGAATGTCACCGATTTCGAAAATGAATAGACCCAATTCAAAACTACGGGGTTCAGATAAATCAGGACGCTGAAATACCCCACGAAGTGTTACATGAGCGAGGAGACCGACTGTGCGGTTTCCCCAGAGTCTGCGATGAGTCCAGAGATTTCCTGAAATCTCACGAAAAGGAACGTCGCCGCCGCCAGAACGAAGGGCTCCTCGAAGTGGGGACATTAACGTAATCAAGAGCCGAGTCCTCTCTTCTCTCGGCTTCACACGCAGAGCTTTGACATCGCGACGATCCTTCATCTCTCCGAGAGAATGTAAGTCGACTCCGAAGAGGATTCTCCATTTCTCTTCGAGCACAGTCGCGTCTGAATTTTCGATCAGGACTGTCGCAAACGTAATGAAATCCGGGTTGCGTGTTGAATGCTGTCCAAGACTTGTCTCAATTGAAAAGGAGATAGGATACCGCGGATCGCGACTCCATCGCGTTCCGTTCGGGAGGAGCGTGAAAGCCTTTTTTCTCGGCGGGCCTCGGCTAGAGCAGTAGGGAAAGGTTTTGTCCTCTTCGAAGGAAATTTCCCTCGCACGTCATATCTGGAGAACCGCCTCAACTGATTGTCGGCACTGTGCCCTCACGCCCGACCTATCACGAGGGCTGCTGAGTCAGTGTAGGTACACGGCCGACTATAGATTTTCTCTCCTCCGGAATCGCATCCCCAGAGGCGTATCGCAGAACAAGCGAACAAGATCGACTTGGTCCGTATCCGAGGAGAAATCCATTCCATAATAGGATCAATCCTCAAGGATGGAACTATTATCATTCTTTTGGAGATTGCTGAAAATTTGGCTGCTTCGAAGGCCGACATTGTTGCACCGCTGATTTCTGTTCGGCGTTTGCACTGCGTCACCGCCCGTCTAAAAATACTCGCGCAGCTGCGAAGTGACTGCTTGTGCATGTATGGATGGAAGTCGAGAAGAAGGCTTGATCCCGGAGTTCCGAGGGATAGCCGTGATGTTTCCAGCGGGAGTCTCGGGAACATTGCAGTTCTCCATGCGAGTACCGTTCCCGGAGGCGTAGCTTTCCGACTCCGGTTCGGCGTTTTTCAAATCATGGAATGGATAATCGACGTTTCGGTGATCGCGGAGGGTTTGCGAATGCGAATCAGCCTCACTCAGCTCCGATTATATCCTTCTCCAACGGCACGCCGTCGAGCACTTGTCGATCAGAGCGATCTCAAAGAGAGACGTCCGAGCTGTGACTATCAGATCCACAAGCAGCGATTTAGATTCGTGTCGGGACGAGGGAATCACACCGTGAGAATCGGGGACACGACAAGTGCTCGACCCCGAATGCCTCCGCCGTGGAGTCCGTTGAAGATACCCAGGATCCGTGGCCTCTGACTTTCGAGGAAGTTTTGAAGAATCTTGAAGAGGCTTCTGGTATCCGACCGAACTCGTCTCTACATTCGTGACCGGTGCGGCATACTACATACCACATATATTGTTTAAAGTGAGGGGTGCTGAAGCGATTCTCGTCGCAGCTCTTCACCCGCGAATCGTTCCTATCCGCTAGGAACATTCATCTGATGAATTCCGAAAACATGTTCAGAGATCTTGAATCTTGACACGGTTCAACCTCCTCCAATAATGAATGGCGTCGCTGTTGAACATCTCTCTTTCTTCGACAACGTCGTCGTTATCGCCAGCTATTTGCGAACACAAGCACAAATTATATCGCGCTGAAATTGTTCGATCGATTTTTCACTGATTCTCGGTTGATGCGAATCCACCGTGTGACTCGAGATCCTTGTCTTCGACGAGCAAGCATGATGACGGCGCGGCGTGAAATTGGTGCGCGCCCCGACATTTAACTCGACCGAGCCACAGAAGCGGCGATATTTGAGGATATGGAACGGCGATCACCAAATTGTTGTTTTCACTGTAAACTGTAGAGTCTTCGTGATTCAATGAATCATCCCGGTAACAAGAGCCTCGGCGATCGAAATTTCGAAAATTGGCGGGCTATCTCCGGAAAATATCATCCGTATGGATACTTTGGTCCGAGAAGATGAGAACGCAGGGCTATTTCCCCCACGACGCTCATGGATCCCTGAAGCGTTTCGATGTAAACCGCACCTAGGGCGTTTTCCACTCAATGAGTTTGCCGGTCACGGCGCAAAATTTCTCTTCATCGGAATGTCCCTTCCCACCGCCGCTCCGTAACGATACGTGGGGAACGTGTCGGCAGAGATTCTGACTCATGATTGTGAATCCCGAGTCAATTATACTTCAACACCAATCCAGACGAGTTCCGCGCCACGCCGTTCCTCCGACGGGTTGAGAAGCGTGGTGCGGCTTCCTCAAGTAGGCGGATAACTTCCTTCACACAGATCACACCTCTGAGAGATCGCGAGAATAATCGAAATAATTTGCCTGACTGATCCGTAGATTCTCCAGGTAAAGTTTCTTCTATATTGCCACATTTCACACGAGAAATGAGTCCTTCGAGGTCCTTGACCGACAGGGAGCTCCGAACGGAGCCGGGTCTGCCTGAGTGGGTCGGTTGAATTCAGTTTAGAGGCGAGTTCGAGGCAGTCCGAACAGGAGACTTCCAATCTGAATCTCATGAGTCTCAGCATAGGTTATGGTGATATATTAAACCATCTGACCCTGACAGAAAACTCATCTCGGAAGACAATGACTCATTTACTTGTAGGCACGTGGGGACGTGAAGTCGGCCGAAGGTAATAATTCATCCGGACAACAACTCGCCTGACACCGATCCCGTCAACGAAACGATGAGTCCAGAGTGAACCCATATCTCATTATGAAATTTCGGAGCGATTGCACTGAGGTCCCGCTCATCGATGCTCTTCTCGGTCGACCAAGTATCTTGAGACATTATTGAGTGGTGTCTGACGCTGAGTTCCTATTGGCGTACTGGGCGTCGATTACATAGAGCCAGGATGAGCTCCGATCGGACGCACCACACCGTACCCGAGATCGCATCTGCACATCCTCAATTGGGTTCTTCATACGCAGCACGATACATATGTGTAGCGTACTTATGTTCTCGGCGGCAGGAACTGAGAGAATTCGGGAAGAAATTCCTGAAGAGAATAGAGAACGGATGCGGTTTCGTTCATCACGACGGAGAAGGGTTTCATGACGTCCAACGATCGGAGCGACAAACCGAGAGTTCGAGATCACTCCCAATGAGCTCGAACCACGACATTTGCGGATCACGGCGGTTCGATCTCGGGTTGGGATTCTGTACGTTTCCGATCATTGATTCCATTCAGGTAGGTACTCATGATCGATCCAGAGTGTCGGGAAGCTCATAAGAAAATCCGGTACAAGGTCGGTCACGGGGCCTCGATGTGTGACGTCTCCGAGCGTAGAACCCTTCTCTCTTTGTCTCGCGTTTGAAAGACGGGCATGAACGTTACACAACGAGGATCATTCAGGTCATTCTTCATCCGGAAATCTCTCTTCTCCCCTTGCTAATTGAGGCTGACGATGAGTCAGATCCTTTTCCTCAGTGGGACGGAGGGAAGAAACCGTGGAAAGCGAAACGACTCACAGCCTCCTCTTGGAGTTCTCTCGCGTCGCCGACGATTTCGTGCTTCCAAATCACTTGGCGAAATAAAGTTTGAGGGATGGCTTAGATACTGCGCCGGCGGGTCGTACAGAGGGCAATCTCTCCGATGGTATGGAAATCAGACAACCATCGTTCGACGGTTTCTTCGTCGGTTGTTGCTCTGTCTCATGACAAAATGACATACGAACTCCGGCAAGATGGATTGTTGCTGCTCTCCGTCTCTTCGTATATCTCGAGCGCTGAGACAAAAAAAAAACATATGACCGGCCCTCCGCTTAGCATTGAGATGTCCATAATAAGTTTTGTCAATACGTCTTTGTTCTGCTGAGATTAAATAATAAGTTATTGTCGTTGGACTCAGCCGCGAGCAGATACCTACAGACCTCCGTATCATTTTGCGTTATGTCCGCGAGGGTAAGTACTCGAGTATATTTCTGACACTTGCTCTGTTCGAGCGTACGTTTGCGCAACCCCTTGTCGATTGTGAGTAGCTTGACGCTTGCCCTCTGTCCTAGGCGGGAGAAATCGATTCTACGGGTGTCAGAGATTCCGCGCTGATGAATTCCCTCGATCCGAGAAGTACTATGGAGAAAATCATCTCCGCAGATTAGCAACGTCTCCACTGGATCGAGGCAAATGCACCAATAACAAAACGCGGATGGCGCGCAATTACACCCTAAACGAACTAGTAAACTGGCATGGGCTACGGTCTCTGGAAGGTCCTGCGTCCACTTTCATCACTTTGAATAGCTGCAATCCGCACAAAGAGTGAAAGCGCTGGATCTGCACTTCCATCGACTTGGCAAATGCGACGTAGACAAATGGTCAGCGACACCGCAGCGTTCGTTTGCTTGTCCGTCTTTTCCCTCTCCGATATTGTAATCAGGAGCTTTCCTCTCAGAAACAAATAATAGTTTCAGGCTCCTCACTGATTCCGCAACGTGCCCGCGTCGTTCTGTTCGCGGGTCGGGTGTTACCTAGACAGATGGCTCCATTTTCCGCCTCTGCGTTCGGAACGAAGTCGTGGGCGAGCAACTCCGTTGCCTCGTTTGAATACCAGATGTGGCTGCTACGACACACGATAGCTTCTCCAAACAGTACGCATCGCGAATGAAAATTTAACACCACTCCTGAATCACTGAAACTAGATCAGTCCGAGGGACAGCAGAGGACGAGAGTTTCCATACATGATTCGAGTACGCAATGAGAAAGAGGTCCTCGGGGTCGGAACCGGGAGTTATAATTTTCGACCTGAGACTCTCCCTAATTTCGGTCCCTCACGAATGTTGACCTCACTCCTGCCTTCGCAATCCTCCCGCGAATCTCCGAGCGGACGTACCCTCTCTGGTATCACATTTCCTTTTGCAAATGGATGCGTGCGAGCTAGTTC